CGTGACGGATGTCCGGCGCCTACCTCATCACTCCGACGCAGGGGCATCCCGGCTTTTCAAAGCTCCATATACTGAGGAGCACGTTGCACATTGTTTCGTTCAGATTGCTTCATCCTAGCGAGAGTTATCACAGAATATTTGGGGCCTCTTTTGAGTGAATCTCCCTGTACCATCACCAGTACTTGTAGCTTATCCACGCTGATGAGCTGGTCAACTATATGGCTTAAAATATTTGGTTTTGTGCCATTTTAAAAAGCTACCTGCTCCTGTTTGTCAATACGTCTGCTTTGGATTAGTCAGTGTGGCAGACCTCACCATTAGTGCACAAATATATAAGCAAAGGCATCTTTTTATTTTCTATGTGCAGTATAAGGTGAGTCATTCCATTTGATGTTTAATGTTAGTTTGTAATATGAGTTAAAATTTGCAGACATTGCAGACTTAACAAGCCAAAAACAAAGTTAGCTGACTTTTTAAAATTTACCCTTTGCTGAACCATGTAAAGCTCTGTTCACTTGAATCGGGCGTTAATGTAAAATATTGCTGGTGTTGTTGCCGTTGAAATTTTCAACGGACACTCAATCCTAAAGACCACTATCAAGCCCACCTCGAGCTTAGAGTGGCAGAATTTAACAACATGTTTTGCTAATATTTGACATTCATTTTGACGTAATCCGTCTGTCAACATGATCAAATCATTGACACATGCATATGCAGTCGTATTCAGAAGTCTGAAGACCCTCGGTCAGATGGCATGTTCTGTTCTGTTCTTTTTTTTCCTAAGTGAAAGTAAACTCATGCTCTACAGAGAGCAAATGTAAATATGACACTTTTCAGCATATTTTAGTGCACAATTTCTATTTGTTTGTGTAGCATATTGGAAAATAATAAAGTATAAAATTTGCCATAACTTTTGCACAGGTCACATTTTGTGTTTTTTTCTTCCCCTAGTATGTAAAATTCAACAAATAAACAGTAATTGTTTATTAAAATGTGCAGAAATGTGGTCTCTGTAGAAGAGGTGTACTTCTTTTCACTTCACAGAAAATCAACAAAGGATGTAATCTGACCAGGAGTGCCCAAAGTTTGTAATGTACGACATAATGAATACTAATATGTTTTTTTATTATCTGGAAAAGATCCAAGGCTTTTAAAAATGTTTGAAATTATGAACAAAAACTTTTTATGGATGCAAAATTTGGCCTCAATTTATCTACATTTGTTTAGTTAAGACACTACTAACATAGAATTTTTACTGCTATTTTTATTATTTAGAATTGCTATTTTCCCAGCTGGGACGGTCCTGAATAAGGACGATTCCATGACCAACTGTAACTGCTGTGCATGTTTGGCACACATTCTGTTTTACACCTAACACCTATCAAAACAGCAGACTGCACCAGTTTTTAATCTTCATGAAAATAGCAACACCTCGCCTTGTGCTACCTCATTTGCACTGACCTTCCATTTCTTCCCACCATCTCTCCCACCCTTGCTCGCTTAACATTGTGCAAGGCATGAAATTACCAAAGCGCACTTTGTGCCGTTATGAAAATACCAATATGTCGAAGGCCTGCGCTTAAGGCATAGTGAGTGTTTGCATATCCATGAAACTATGGCCTCGAGTCCACCATTCAGACTTCAAACAACACAGAAACTTCTGGTTATTCTGCCTCCCCTGTATATGCAGCCCTAAATGGAGCTGGCCATAGTTAAAAAAGGTTCAGCTGGTAATATTTCATATTTCACTTTTTCACTGAAAACTCATTAGACCCTGGTGCTGGATTCTATGCCCTGCCAATGCTTATCGACATGTCATAGTAACTTCTGAACCTCTGCGAAGCTTATGCAACACTCTTTTTGTGCTGTTCTTTGGGCAATAGTGGATGGGCATGTTAAGCTGAAAAAATGCTACAGCTATTACACCTACATACAGAATTACTGGTACATGTTATTCAGTTGGATATTGTGGAACATTGGAGAAAATTTTATAAAATGCATGAGGACTGCTGAGCAGTTTCCACATCCTCAAAGTATGCATACAGGTCCATAAGTAATTTATGTTGTGCATGCAGAGTACAGAAGATTTTGATAACATTCAAAATTTACCTAGTATAGCTGCACACAGGACTGGGCAACATGACAGAATTTTATCATAATACATCATAATATGCTTTTCAATTCATATTGTGGATATCGCCAGCATTGAACACTGTCCAAATGCATGTTTCATTACAAAACAAAGCAAGCATATTTAGCTCTGTTTAATTTTACTTAGTGCAGCGCAGTATGTGAGATAATGTCAAAAACTATGTACAAAGTGGCACTATTGAGGGCTCTTTGTTCTAACTGATCAATCCTCAAAAAAATGAAACATATTTATGGGAAAAAAATCTATACTGAAAATGTATTTCCGCCACCCAAAGTTGCACACATATTGCATAAATTGTACGTATAATGTATAATTATGTATAAAATGCAGATGAACACAATTTTCTAATTATTTTCTAACAAAACATGCTACACAGAGACCATCACAAACAAACAACGCATGTTTGAGGCCTGATCTAGCTCACAAAACACCAGTAACACTCAATAAGAAAAAATCGTCAACAAATCTTTTTAGCAATTGCATAAAATATAACAGCATCTATTTTTGAGCTAAATCCTATTTTCCCTAAATCCTTTTATTAGATTACACTGGTCAGAAAAAAAATGAATGAACAAAGTAAAATAACCCTTATGTCAAGCTGCAGTGTTGCTAAGAGCCATCAGATTATGATGTGCAATCAATTTCGGCGAACTGACAGATGGTGCGAGCAAATTTACACGCATAATCTTCAGGCTTGGAGACTGGCGGGCCGGCGAGCATATAGCCTCCGATATTAAAACATCAGCTATACTGGCAGACATATTAAGCCATATTAAGGAGGTAAGGGCCATAATCCCCTTGAATCAGCAGAATTTGGCCCTCTGCTAAGCTGAAGAGTGTGTGTGTGTGTGTGTGTGTGTGTGGGTAATCAAGCTGTGTGTGGGGATGGGGGGGTGGGTGGTGGGTTGGATCGGTGCACAAATGAGGACTGTGGATGCAGTTGAATCACGGTTAACAGCAAGATTTTTCAGCAGTTTTTTCAGGAGTTTAAAGTAGATCCCCCGACCAAAACCCATTCAATATCCATCCTATCCTCCACCTCCTGTGGTGCGCTCTTATTTATTTATTCATTTATTTATTTATTTAATTGGCTATTTGCTTATTTATTTATTATTTATTTATTTGCTCATGTATGGATTTATTTATTTTTCTATTCATTCATTTATTAACTCATTCTCCTATGATCTGATAAAAAAAGTGTTTTAAAATCTGGAACTCAATTTGTTTCTCTGAGCAATTTTAAATCTGTAATTCTGATTTTGTAAGACGTTTCTCTAGAATGGAGCAGTTGGTCTGTTTTACAAACAGGATTCTGATTATTTTGTTTATTTTTTTTATTTAAATGATACATTTTAAAGCAACTTAGTTCATGTTTTCACACTGTTCGCAAAATGTTTGCAGATTCCTTCTCATCCAACATTTCCTCTGAAATCAAAGGTGCTAATAGGGATTTTGTCCCCCTTTGCTGTAGTAACAGCCTCTATTCTTCTGGAAAGGCTTCACACTAGACGTTGGAACATTGCTGAGGATTTGATTGCATTCAGCCACAAGAGCATTAGTAAGGTCAGGTTATTGGATGTTGGACGCTCAGTTCTAGACTCACTCCAACTCATCCCAAAGGTATCAGATGGAGCCTCATCACTCGAGAACACGCAGTTCCACTACACAGCCCAAAGCTGGGGGGTTTGTACCCCTCTAGCCATCGCTTGGCGTTGGGCATGATGACCTCAGGCCCATGTGTGGCTGCTCCAGAGCATCCCATTCTATTGGCAGTGCTTTGTTATGGAGATTATACAAGCATGTGCAATTGAATGTCTGTGTCAGCAACGGGTGCATCTTAAAGTGGCTGAATCCACTAATTAAAAATGGTGTCCAGATACTTTTGGACATACAGTGTGTGTTTGTAATAGCTGTTTATATGTCACAAGTTGTACTATGTAAAAACCTAGCTAATATACATTACTGCTGTTTAAGAAACTGGTATGTTAAAGATGTCAATTCTAAGCCAAAAACTATGATTCCCACTTAATTCAGAAGGATGCAGGTCTACTCTGATGAGGAAATATGGTGCAGGAATAATATATGTGGCCCCATGAAACAAGTAATCCATGCATATTAATGCTCGACAATAATTTGAATGTTCAATTGCAAATGACAGTTTGTGGTTAAATATTTGATTATTGTATTAATAGGGTGCTTTTGCTGCTGCTTGGTGAATGATTGGCAAGCTGAATTGCAGCTTGTCTAATGACCAAATACTTTTATCCTTTATTCATACCCTGCAGAATTAACGTAGGTGGCTTTTTTTTCCCCTTGCAAATAAGCACAATCACACTCCAGCAGCTGCCAGCTGAAGTGATTTTCGCTTGAATGTTTTCTGACACCGCCACATGTTAAGTTCTGACACACGATGCCAACAATGAGCGGAAAAATAATGAAAATCAATGCTGGCTCTGTTAAGGCTAATTTTTAACGATGAACCATTTAGCAAACATAATATAGTACATAAGCGAGCTCTCAAACTATGCCGGGGTCCGTCGAGGGCTGCGGCGTCTGCAGGTGCCGGATCCGGCCCCTCATAACACTACCTGATTTGACTAATTAGGTTCTCTTCTTTGGTGAGGAGGAGAGCTCGTTAGTGGAATTAGAAGGTGTTGTGAGGAACTGGAACAACGACAAGACACTGTGGTCCTTAGTGGACTGAGCTAAGGAGAATATATTCAGCTTAAGTGAACATGTGGTGTAAGAACAGGCTGGACCACTGCTCTATGATCTCTGACCCTCATTTGTTTTACAATGGAGTATTTAAGCACTACGAGTAAGCAGTTAGATAACTCTTCCCACTTACCTTTACTGTAGCTTAGCAGGTACTGTAGTCTTCATGTCTCTATTTCTTCACGGTGCCATTCTCAGTTTCCATTTTTCTCACTCCCTGCATAAAAACATATAAGAAAAACATGAGCACACCCACACACATTGAGAAAACAGAGTGCACTTAATCGTTTTTGAAGAAAGGGGGCAAATTCATTTTCAGGACGTATATCTAATCACAGTATTGGGAGGGGAGGTAATTTGCTAATGGACTGAGAAGAAATAGTGGGATTTCCTCTCTCTCTCTCTCGGAAATACTGTAAAACATAGATTAGCCGCTCAGGCCGAGGCAGGAGCGGCCAAAGTAGGCTTTAACAGACTCATTATAATGTCCTTTGCTCTCAAAATGAGGAACCAGGAGAGAGAAAGAAAAAGGGCGGGCACTTCTCTGTTCAACCAACAAACTCAATAACCCACAAGACCATTTAATTACCATCTCCACCCCGCTTACGATACTCCTGTCGATCCCCTGACACAGCTCCATGTCTCCTTAAACTCTTTTAATTACTCCTTAACTAAGCCCTAATCACACGAACTTTGTCCTGACAGAGCGCGTACAAAAACTCCGCCCTAACTCGCCACCATCGCCGAATACAGATCAGCCTTGGCTAGGTCTAAGTTATTAGTGCAGACATGACGCGCACACGCTGTCTCTTTCTCAATACACGCACACACACAGGGTACTATCACCCCTGTGCTCAAGCTAAGCGCTAATGGGCGATCACGTTAGCTTTAAAAGCAAGGCCAGCTTCGGCTAGTGGGGAAGTGCTTCTCTCAAAGTCGCCATGGAGACTGAGGGGGCAAGGAGCTTTAGCGAAGCAGTGAGAGATCACACAGGCCTGGAGTCAGTCCGACTCGCGCACACCCACATCACTAACAACCTGCCCGAGAACTCAGTTCACCTTGCAGAGGTAAAAAGCAATACACCATTATTTCATGCTCTCTGCTGGCGGTAGTAGCATTCAGCTGCGGTCCGCTTTGGAGAGAATGCAGCCAAACGAATGACTGAAAAACAGCATCAAAAGATTGTTGTAGGTGCCTATAACTCAATAAATGGCACAGTGCTCTCTTTATGTACCGTATACCTTATATAGATATCAAAATGAACTCCTGAATATATTAGAGCCTGAACAAGTATGAAGATTTTGTGGCAAATATTGATACCGATACCGAGGAGCTACAGATTCTGATAATATTGGCTAATATTGTTGTAAGCACTACACTTGTTCATCTGGTGGACTGAAATTCTTCTTAAGGTATAGGTTTTGTCATTACCTTTATACTAGTATTCCAAATAAACGCAGATAACGCAATGTATGTACAATGCAAAATGCGCTAATTCCCTCGCCTTGCAGTGTTGCAGTCTGTTGCATCATACAGTAAGTCAGTCCAGCTGTTAAAGTTGAACACTTGTCAAAGTTGAAGTGGAAAAAGAGAGTGGAGGGAAAAGCCAGTCTCTTGGGGTTAACCATTAGCCATTAACTTAGCAAAGAGATTAGCCAGCTTTCCATACACACCAGCTACTGTGCTCCTCACTCAGCTACCTGCTTCATGTTAGCCTACGGCCTTGAAGAGGCCTTGCGGCTTCTTAGCTAATACTGATAGCGTGAATGGTTTGTAATATTTACGAATTCCAGCATTGACTGACGGTCATACTTAAAAAGGTTGCACATAAAACACATATGTGAGACAAATGACTTGAAAAAATCTGACATAAAACAATATTTAGCACGATTTTTGCTGAGTTCTGTGAAGCTGCTGTGTGCTTACATGCTCTCGCTTTCATCTCATTTCTGTTTTTACTATTTTCCCAATAAAAATGTTAGATTTACTTCAGCTGTTAAATATCATTGTTATTAACAATGGAGGGACATCACAGAATAATATGCCATTGTTAATCTGCAAAAATATGTTTACTTAATCATCCTAAATGGTTTTATTTTAAAAATATATGCATAAATACACAATGCTGTGATACATACATAAACATTCAGTAATCTTAAATATACCATGATTTACATTTTTGGCCATATTGCCCACTACTAGGCCAATATCACATAAAATGGGCTAAAACTAAACATTTTCAATAGTTAAGCCCTTAAATTGCCAGACATATTACATCCAGTTTACTCAAGCTTATTATTCAGTAATTATAAGGAAAACAATGCAATCTAGCTGAGATATTCTTAAAGCCCCAGGGAACTTAAAACCATCTTTTCTTTCTAATTAAGTTACACTTACTCTTGTGTGCACACAATACACATGTACAAAGCATGCCTTATGAATAATGTTCCAGTGTCCAATAAATGTCCAATGCATACTGTCAAAATTCTCCCCTTCAACTTTAACTGGACAGTCCTAATCTTAGGTAATGCTTATTTAAGCATTCAAGCTACCTCATCTATCTGTCTGTCTGTCTGACTGCCTACTGTCTGTCTGTCTGTTTGTTCGTCTGTTCGTATACTCGGCTATGCCAGAATTTCATGTGTATACATTCTCTAGATGTACATGTACACAGTGAATAAGAACTTCACTTTCTTTAAGACATTTGCATATAAAAACTGGATGTTTTTAGTTGTGTCTTTTTTTTACATAACGTGAACACGGCAGCTGCTCTTTACAGTTTGTGAAAATTTCATGATAAATGAACTAATAGAAATGCTCCACAATTACTTGGAATGAAATCTTGTTACATTAACTGAGACTGAGAGACATCAATCAAGCATCCTGTTATATAGTGAGACCATGCCCAGAGTGTTCTCGAGTGAATCCAAGAAGCCGTGTTGTATTATATTTCAATCTTTTTTTCCCAAGATGTTTAATACAACACTCAGTTTTAATATAATACAAACATATTTAATATTTTACGCTGTGTTGCCTAAGTTATGGGAGTAAGGCATTGTGAAATCATCCTCCTTAATATATCAAACATCTTTATGATGTGACAAGATGTACTGAATGATGCTGAATAAATAAATAATGCTAGGGATGCTTCTAAGGCTTGCATTATTGGTGTGGTTCACTCTAGAACACCGGATGAGAAAGAAGAATAAACTTTCTTCACATGTAATTACAAAAACTGCAGCACAGTCAGTGGTCAATGTAGGCGTTTGTGAGATAGTCTGCGTGAAATGAACAGCAAAGCCTTACAAACACGTGCCACAGATCGCACACGTTACAGTAACATCTATGCTACAGTGGCACAACATTGAAATACAGCAGGAACAAACTAATAATTTCACAAACCATGTCTGTGAAAGTGAAACTAACAAGAAGTACCAAGAGTTTTACCAAGACTAAAAGATGCATTTATTTATGCACACAACAGCACAGGACCAACTAATGAACTAACTCTACTCCTGAGCATGTGACCTGCCGAAGGGCCCAGAATACAGCACTTTCTTCTCCTCACAGTCAACATTCACGCTTGCGCATCCCTCTGTATCTATAATTATAGATACAGGCATCACTGTATAGATAGGAATGCTGTTTCAAAGGGCATTAACATCTTAACAGCATGATTTACCAAGCTAATGTGTATACAACACTGGCCTTGGCTTGTGATTAAACTCAGTATTAAAGATCCTTTCTAAGCAAAGTTTTAGCAAAATCTGTTCTCAACTGTCAGATTACCAAATTTAATTAAACTTAAACATGAGAAACACTCCAGGCCTTAAATCACATAAATATTGCACCACAGAGCATAGCTTCCCAGAATTTTTAGCAGTTTTGTTGATTTCTGTAAATTAACTTTTATTTTTCTTACTTTTCATTGGTTCTCTTTAGAAAAAGTTTTTTGAGTTACATTTTTTCATAGCAAAGATAAGGTTTGGACACATTATACATTCTTTCATCACTTAAACCGTGATGGGCGCTGGAGCCTATCCCAGTGCTCATTAGGCGCAAGGCAGGAAACACTCTGAACAGGTTCCAGTCCGTCGCAGGGCAGACACACGGATAGTCACACACACTTCAGTATCATTTAGTATGTGTTTGTTATTTTAATTTTTAATCATGACAGTGTTTTGTGTTCACATTTACTGCTTCAGTCTGTTGTGCTCTAATAGACATGAGCAAGTGGTCAGTGTCAGCTTAGCAGTCACTATAAAGGCTGGCATAAACACTTCATCTAGGTACTTAGACAATATTGATAGATACAGAGGAGATCAGCCAAAAAAATTCATATATATATATATATATATATATATATATATATATATATGTGTGTGTGTGTTTTTTTGGCTGATCTCCTCCAAGGCTGGGTTTTGGGTCACTGTCCTGCTGGAAGATTGAACCACCACCCAGCCTTGGCCTCCATGATGCTATGAATGAAAAACAGCTGCACAACATCATACATCCACCACCATGCTTCACAGTGGGAATTAGGTTCTTACATTATCTGACTCTTTATATGCCAAATTCAAACCCCCTTTCTGTTTAAACAGAAACCTCTATTTTTACCTTTTGTGATATGTAGCAAACTTAATGTGCTTATATTTGTGTCTTGACGACAGCAGCAGATTTCATCTCAAGCTTTACAAATAGTTTATTGGCATGGAGATGGCATCTAAATGTAAGTTTGAAGTTGATGGTGCAGCCATTTTCCAATATCCTCGATAGTCGCTATTCAAGAACAGATCCAGTTACTTGCAACTTAATAAATGACCTTGACATGGGTGTCACAGGAAAAGTCATGGGTGACCACTTAAGAGCTCCTAAATTTTCAGGTATTCAGGAAGGTAAAATATAAATGGGATAGCATGTGAATTAGATTTTATTAGTATGAATTTATGGATGTATCAATAATCATGCTTTTGTGTAAAAGCTTTTGTTTTTTGAATATTTTTTCCTCACCTGCTGCAAACAAAGACCTGTCATGTGTTCAGCTGTAATATGTTCCTCAGCAAACAGAATATATTAAGAGAAAATAAACAAGGTAAACATGAGTCTGTACCGGACTAATAAAATGTTCTGTCTTGTTTTACATTAGCCTAACACCTCCCTCATACCTGCATTCACACGTGAACACATGACTCCTTTAATTAAAAGACATCAGTTGGC